ATGCTAAGGTAGAAAAAAATGACAAGATGTAAACGCAATACTATCAGATTTTTTGTAGTTTTTCGTATCCATTAATCTGAAAACCGATGTAATGGCCGATTATTTGAAAATTTCGTAATCTTTTTTAAAGCGACTGAGAATTGAGAATTTAATCCTTCCAAAATGAAGCTCATATATTTAAATATTGGCATGTGATCGATCTTCACATGGTTTCTTCCTGAAAAGGTTCTCTACCACTTCGATGTATTATAGATCGCAAGGCAGGAGGTGTGCGTCTGACCGTTTTGATAAAAAATGCTTCATTTCTGTTTCTCGACGAGGTTGGGAAGAATAGAGAGAGCCTTTCTTCCAATTTTAATACCATTGTACTCATAGGTTAGAACGACGACCATCTGCTGAAATCATTTCCCAAGCATCTCACCCATTACGGAGTTGATCACAGTAGTCTCCGAAGACACCCGTCCGTGAGAAGGACTTGGCTCGCATCAACTAAAGTCCACATAAGACAGCAAAGTATTAGGTGTTTCAGAAAGTTCTGTCGTTTTTGACTATACATTTGGATGCTTCATTTACTTGAAATCCAGAGAACTGCCATCGGTATGGATATCATTTGAAGAGCTTTCCCTGCTCTATCCAATGCTTAGCTCAGCTTTGTTCTAAAACATTTTCTTATAGCTTTTTCAAAGCTTTGAATGGTATACTCGATGAGCAAGTTGGCATGACTTTCTTTTTCTAGCTTTAAATAGACCTGAAAGTAGCGGGAACAGTTCAAGATATTAACGATGCACTTGGCCTAGATTCGCAATAAATGTGCTCAGAAGCAGTAGTTCAAAAAGTTATTGTAACGAAAGCGAGAGCCTTGGGTATGATGAGAGTGGTGGTCGGATATCGGACGTTGCCACCGATTAGCCAAAAGTTCTGATTGAGGCACTCGTGCGTAGGACCATAGAGGAGGTTCTGCCCAACCTGGGCGTATATGGTTTGTAGAGCCAAGCTATACGGAAGTAGCTGGAAAGTCCAAAAAATTTGATAGGGGCGTGCCGCGACAAATCACCAATTGAAGGGTCGTCCATCAATTTCTAGCTTGTTTTATGTCACAAAGGCTATTCGCTTTTCTACGGATTTGATTCTAAAACGACCTTTCCATTTCATTGCCTGCAGATCTCTAGCACTCTAAGCAAGCACTTTCACTGAGAAGTTCTTTATGGCGGAAGGTCAGCGCATTCAAACAGTTTTCATTTCAGCTAAAAATTTTGATTTTAACCGAGATGCATGCATTTGAAGTTTGGGGTCAAAAAACGACAGATCTTTCTAAAAGACCTAATGTAGAGCCGCTTCCAGTTTCTTCATTCCTCAGGAAGATGAACTGTTTTCCAGTTGGCTGTCTTGAGGACTACTGTGGCGTCCTTTTACAATGTGTTGTCTGGAACTTATGCCATCTGCTAATTCAACCGAGCGTGATTTTGACAATAGTGGCGTGATGCTCGGGCGGCTATTGATACGATTACCACGCTCGAATGAGGCATATATGGCCTTCACATCTTTTGAGCTTTACGTACAGAATTTCCGACTCGATCACATTGAAAAATTAGGCTATACTGCTCGTAATGGTGACGCATATATTTCGTTAACTGCAACTAAGAGAAAAAAACAAATTCGAGATATATTAAATTTTGGTCAGGGGTATTTCATTTCATATTCCTAATTCATTTACAATTGTAAATGCATATGTAAAGAGCTATCCGCATTTGTGCACTGGGATATGGGCCTGTGTGTGCCTTTCAGAATTCAGCCCCTAACACCTGAAAAATTACGTCAAGGGATCGGTCTAAGATGGGTGAGACCTAAGAGAGGGAACAAGGGGCACTGAGCACTGCGGAATCTCGTCCACTGCGGGGGGTGAATGATTGAGGTTTGTAGATTTCCATTCTACAGTCGCCCAGCGACTAGAATGCTCAAAGGTGAGCAATAGGTTGATAACAAGGTAGCCGCCTGCGGGGTGGTGGAAGGAAAAGCGCGGGGAAGGAAAGTTCAGAGGCTTAGCGTCAGCTAGACTGTTGCCTCTCCAGGACTACTTTAATTTTGTACCGCACAGCAAGTAGTGCAGGGCATAGTGGTAGGGAAACGTGAATGATGGCACGACCGTTCCCTTCTGGCATATTCCAATCTACCTACATTTAGGATCGCAATGACATTCTGAATACGATTTTGCTTCACCACAACTCAGTGCTTTATTGTCCTCTCAGAAAGTGCAGCCTATTCACCAAATGTGAATGGGGTAAGGTTTGTTGACTCGGAAGGCCTACAAACCAGGACTTGATCCTAGAAAGCGGTGTGACTTGCCACGACATAACCTCCCACCATTACATTCGGAACATGGATACTACTGGAGGCTAGGAAAAAAGAATCTGGCCAGGGATAACGGTCAGATGTGTGTGAGATTAGCCTGGAGCGGAGGTAGGTATTAGGGTGTCCCAAAAGTTTTGAAAAAAAGTTGGTCCTAAATTTCGCAACCATGTTGCGAAAGCAGATCGATAAAATGCGCCAAAGCAGATCGATAAAACAGATGGGTGGTGAAAGGGCAAGATTAGGGGATCACGTTCGCAGCTGAATGCTACATATCGTCATTTGTAGGAAAGTTAGATTTGATTAAACAATGTGCGACCAATACGCTCACCGTGTTCTGTTTTACTTTTTACAGTTGTTGACGTTCTCCCGCTCGAGCCCCGAACAAGCTTAAGGCGGGCGATAGGCAGCGGTGAAGCCTTTGAAGTGACAAGCAGTAAGTGGTCATTTGCGTCCAGAGACGGGAGATTTGCCCAGACGAAAGCTCCTAATAGTGGCCATCCACATTCCCACAATACCGATACTATTCCGGCCTCAGCATGAATCCCAAACCGTCCTTCTCAAATGTCGAGAGTAATAGAGAGCACGACCTCTACTCCATGTTCCATCATTCACGGGGCTTCTGCGTAGAAGTCGCGTCTGTGCACCGCTCCCTGGAGTTATCCTCGCTCCCTAACCGAACACGAACGTCGAGCACAAGTCGATGTGTTTCAGAATTGAATGAATTTAAAGCCACGAGTCAGGATTAGGCAACCAGCAGAAGTTCTTCCCAGGGTGCGATAGTGGGCTCCCCAAGCACTGAGGGCGCGACACTATCGCGACCCAAAAGTGCGCGGCAATGGCGCTAAGGCCTTGCCCGCCGCGCTGCCAGCGTAATCCACCACGGCATACGTGGTCTCTGCGTCCTCTCGCGTACGACGTACTATCTCGCGTTCTCCCTCTCCTCGCAGCGCTGTGTCTCTCCGTCGTACTACGGCCGGCCTCCTAAGGGAAATTTAGTGTTTTCTATGGTGCTTTTTGCTTTTTCTCCTCACTAATGTTCCTCATTGCACCCCTTGCCTAATGTTTGAACAAAATAACGCATCAATTCAATCCTGACTCGTGCCTTTAAGCGATCACGACATGGACGGACTTCATTATCGCCCAGGAGGAAAAGTGGATATAGTATGGAAATCCACACAGGAAATTGCAATGGATACCAGTGTGCGTAAAGCCCCAACCCGTTCGAGGAGATGATTTCATTCTTATTTTGCTGCACCGGCTGCGCATACTATGGGATCCTACACAAGGGTACTGCGGTGACGGCAAGAGTATTCTGTGAACAACTGCGAGAGATGGTGTCCCGAGCCCCCAGTTCACACCGACTACAAGGGAAGTTTGTAATTGTGATGGACAATGCTCGACCACACCACGAGGACGACGACGGAGGAGCTGGAAAGACTTGGTATCACCTGGCTACCCCACCCCATATTCACCTGATCTTAGTCCTTGTGACTACCATGCTTTCAGAAGCCTGCAGGCCTACACGAAAGGGAAAAAATTCAACAACCGTCAGGAGGTCAAGCATGCAGTAGGATGAATGGATCGCGTCACGCCCCTATTCCTTCTAGAAGGGCATCAGTGCTCTGCCCAATCGATGGAGGGACGTCGTGGCTAAAGAGGGCCACTATCTCGATTTTCGATCTCACGTTTTTGTTGTGGTCATTTTGGGTTGAATAAACCGACTAAATTTTTGCAAAACTTTTGGGACACCCTACTTGATTGACCTAGGTCATATTGCTGAAGCCACTGTGGCGCAACAAAGTGTTCATCTTGAAGTATGAAAGACTCTGAACAAATCATACATTGACTGAAGACTTACTATGGAAGTAAGAACTGTGAGACTGTATGTCATGCTGACGAGAAAATGAAGAACGAGAAGGATCTGGAATAGAATGAAAATGTGCAGATTGCTAGAAAGTTGCTGGTCCTAAACAGCGATTTGCCCTTGATGACGCTAAGAAACAACTGTGAGTCAAGAGCTGCTTGAGCTTTATCAAGAGTAGGGAGTCTTCGAATGAGTCACTTTCGTGCAGATATCTTCCCGCGGCTCACAATTTACCCCACCCACCTTCAGATTGAAATGAAGTGCTGACGGTAGAAGGAACTTGTAATGAACCACTGGCTGAGCGATGAGCGTGACGACGCATAAAGCAGCATCAATGAGATGAAAGCTTCGATAAATGGGGTTCGAAGATACGCTGTCCGTGAGCTGAAAATATGTTGTCCAACAGAATGGTCACGAAACAAATGTAATTTTCTCTTCTTCAAATTTCAGGAAAAATTTCTATTATTAATATTAGGTATGACTATGGATATGAGGGTTTTATTCTGATTGATTCTCTTTGTTTTCACTCCGAGTGCGACATACGCGAGCTAAGCGCATACTTTTCTCCCAAACAGTACGCCTGAGAATCTGCTTTCCGACGTACAAACCAGACAATATTAACACATCGATGACAACGCACTTTATGGCATTTTTCACGCCGCGGGACATGAATGGCTGGCCGGACCGCGTCCGGCTATCCTGCAAATTACAGTTTTCAAACTCAAACTCCAAGAAACGGAGATGGGAGTTTGTACAAGCGCTCAGAGTAAAATACCGGATATACAGTAACGCGAGTTTAATATAATGAAACTCTAATCAATATTCTATTACCGCATGATTGCAGCTTACAATTATTTTTGACAGGTGGTGCGCCACTATCATGACTGAAGGTGGAGCTGACTAGTTATCTCAACTGGCTCAACTTCAGCTGAACGCGATAGACGAGCTCACGAGATGTCGTCAGACCATCCGCCACATCACTAGTAAGGGCGCGAACAAATGATTTATCGGAAACAAAGAAGCTAATGGGCCTAGAAAATCGTTTCAAAAAGGTTGGATCAGACAAGAAGAGCATGCTTAAGACGTTACGCAACATTTTTTCTCTGGAGAGATGCGGTTGGCCGACGAGAAATATAGCAGTATCATCTCGCTTGCAGTCACGACGCGTGAAAATGTTTGCTACGAATGTCCTTCAGGATATAGCCGACACAAATCATCGCGTGTGGGGCGTTGCGTATGCGATTGTTAGAACGTTGCATCTATACCGCATCCGTCTTTTACTTTTATTCTTCAGCTTGCTTATTTCGAGAGGACTTCAAGAGTCGAAGTTTGAAGGATAAGTCAGAAGAGGTTTTAGGATTGCCTTTGTGGAAACTTGACATATCTTTTAACCAGTGGAGGGGATTGGACCAGCGTTCATTTAGTGTGTATTGGTCTCATAGATGAGTAAAAACGAATTTGAAGAAAGATTCCGCAAAGCGTTACCAAAATAGGTAACATGGCAAGGGTGAAAACTGTTTTTAATAAGCATCGACAGGATGTCGTCAAACGTTGTGAAAATTGGGCGGTAACCACGGTGAATAATATCTTTTTGCGAGTGAGTATAAAGAGAAAATTGGTGAAAGCTTCGCCCTGGCGGATAAAAGATCATAGGTCGGAACTCAATTCCAGAGGGCCTTGATATTGGTTCTAATATTCCGTTTTTCACGACTCAGAGCACCGCTGTTGGTCATAACAACCTGATAATTAGTTTGTGTAAGCATAAAGCACCTCTAAGGCAAATGCGTTAGAGCTCCATCATAGCAAACTTCGTTTTGCACTGGTGTTTCAAGTAGGTGTCGTACGTCAAGGCCATCTTGGTATTTTGCTCCCTGGATTAACCTGAAACTAATAGTTAGATACCGCTAGAGTATTCAACTGAGTCGGGGGAGGAAGAACATTTCTGACCTCATACACTGTTTTAATGACCTGTTTTCAACGGAGGCATTGTTTTGCTTCGTTACAAAGAAGATTTATCGTGAAAAGAAGTCTATCCTCTTCTATGATTGAGGATTGCACATTCGAGACACACCATGAAATTGAGTTTGAATGCTTGCAAAATTCGAAGGCTAAGGAGGGGGGTCTTTCTTGAATTCAAAATACATGAGTAATCGCTACAAAAAACTGCAAGTAAGGGACAAATGAGTTGGGAAGTACGGCACATTACATAACAGAATAATAAATCCCGTTATTTGTTATAAATCGGATCTACGTCAGAGTTCAAATTATTGGTAACGAGAGTTTAATGTTTAAACCGTAGTCATTTATGTGCAAGACATCAGTGCGCAACCGACAGGCTACTGCAACCCTGGCGCCAAAAAGTAACATGCGGGCCTGCGACGTGTAACATGCGACTACATCGATTTGAGCCTCAGGATTTCGTAATGGGAAGGGCCTCGAATATCAATGCATAGCGTAACTATTATGGATTACAGCTCAGATTTTCAGTGATGAAGTGATCAAGTTCGGAAATTTTTTGAAATAGTTCAAGAGAGAGAGACGAATGAACTTTGTCGCAGACGGAGCTAGCCGCAAAACCAGGATCCGTCAGCTTTCCTTCTTCTCAAAGAGGGGTGTGATATCTCTTCAAATGTTATTTCTTTTACCATATCCCATTCACCGAGAAGGGACCTATGCGCTATCGCAATGCAGGGGCATTGTGGCGACAATGCATTCAAGACGAGTAGGACATCTCTTTTTCCATTCGAACATTAAAGGTGGGGGGACAGACTTCAGGATGCATGAAAAATTTTCCCAGAAGTTTCTGCCTTTCTCTAAGACTAGTTTCAGATGATGATCCATATTTCGCGATAGGTCCAGGGCCCATTTTATGTTGTAGACGTGAAACTGAAAACAAAAATGTGTTGAAATCAAGGAAGCTGACTCAATACGAATTTACAAAAAAACGGCTGAGAGGTTCTCCATTCTCTCTTGTGATGCGGAGAATAGCATACGGCGCCATGCACTCGCGATGTGGCGCAACTCTTCCGATGATTTTTCATCATATTCACGTAGCAGTGGCAGGTAATATATTAAGTTGGAGCATAATATCGTAGCGCTTGCATTTTTCATTTCTTCACACAAACATTTGAAGCAGAAAATAAAATCAAAACTAATCAGTGATGTTCACTGTCATTATTCACAATTTTGATGGCATTTCACCCGATATAGGATTAAAATTCTTGAGCTCGTTTCTGGAATCCTTCTTTGTACGCAATGAGTATGATTCCATTGAGCAAAGAAGTTAGGGTCGGTCAGAGCAAGGTATGAGTAAACAATGGTTCAAAAGAACTTCCATTTTGGCTTCCTTTTTTCATAATTTGAACCCGAAAATAGCAGCGGTTAAAACGCCGAATTTCCGACGGCTGAATTTGCGATCTGCAAATCGCTATACCTGAATACAGTAAAAATTTTGAAGAAAATGATAACAAAGACTTTTGCAGAGCGGAAGAGTTGTTTCAAATAATATAGTACTTATACTGATTCGATTTATACGCTTGAAATATTACGTCTATATTAGCTAGCGCAGACTGGCTAATATAGATGTAGGGGAATAAAATAAAATCCCGATAAATATTGGATTGGAGACGATTTTTTTTGTTATTTTTTTTTTTTTTTTTTTTTGTTTTTTTTTTTTTGATTTTTTGTGTTTTTTTTGTATCGTAGCGTTTATTTTTCGCACGAAACGCCTGGAAAAACGTAAGACTACGCTCCAACTTTAGGTCATTTCCTAATTATATTAGCCAGTATGGCTAGGTAATATAATGTATCATTCTATATAGCGTATAAATCCAATCATAAGCATATAATATAAGCATCACCCAAAAACCGATCATATTTATTTGAAAGATCTTTTCCGCTCTACAAAAATCTTTGTTATCATTTTCTTCAAAATTTTTACTTTTCAGGTGTAGCGATTTGCAGATCGCAAATTCAGCCGTCGGAAATTCGGCGTTTTAACCGGCTGCTATATAGTTCGGTTCATTGATGAAAAAATAAAAGCCAAAATGGATTCTTTCGAGACCATTCTACTTACGTTGCTCGATCGACCCTATTGCTTATGTCAATGAATATATATTGCGAGCAATATACTAAGGCAGTAAAGGAATAAAGGAATAAAACCTCCGTGAATTTTGAGCTTTTAACTACGCAATACTCGGATGGAACAGAATGTTTCGAATGATATTCGATGTGTCAAACTTAACAGAAGGAAAACTGTAAAAGTTCGATCAAATTGACGTTTTCCTGGCAACAAAAAGGCGAGTTTCAGTTGCTTTTGATATAGTAAACCTCAAAATTACTTTTCACACGGTCACTCCACTAAAAACATATATCTTGCTATACGTGTAGGTCTGTGCTTACTTCTACTACTATTTTTTATGACCAAGGTTGTCAGAATATAAAGAAAACTAGGAATGAACACATTTCGGAAATTCGTAGGGCTTGGAAAACCTTGCTGAAAAGGAGCACATTCAACAATTCGATGAATTCCTCGCCGTGTCTAGTCATATTATGGGTGTGGTCTATAGAATAGATGCAAAAAATAGAAAAAGCGCGAAAAAAATAATAATTTGTGTGTGCAGCGCATGCGCTGCACACGGTCCCACACGGTGCTCAAGGTGTGATGCGCATGCGCTGCACAATGTCGTCAACGTGTTAATGTTCTATTGGAAAAAGAGATGTCCTACTCGTCTTGAATGCATTATCGCCACAATGCACCTGCATTGCGATAGTCTCCTTCTCGGTGAATGGGATATGGTAAAAGAAATAACATTTGAAGAGATATCACACCCCTCTTTGAAAAGAAGGAAAGATTACAGATCCTGATTTTGCGGCTAGATCTGTCTGTGACAAAGTTCATTCATCTCTCTCTCTCTTGAACTATTTCAATAAATTTCCGAACTTGATCACTTCATCACTGAAAATCTGAGCTGTAATCTATAATAGTTACGCTACGCATTGAGATTCGTGGTGTTGCCCATTACGAAATCCTGAGCCCACATTGATGTAGTCGCGGCAGGCCCGCATGTTACTTTTCGGCGCCTGGGTTGCAGTAGCCCGTTGGTTGCGTGCTGATGTCAGACTCTTGCACATGACTGAGGTTTGAAGAGAGTGTGTAGATAAGTCTTGCTCCCGCTCAGATCAAGGGATTTCGTTCGGTAAAAACAGTGAACTCTAGGTATTCTGAACTGCTTTAGGGGGCAAACATTAGCAAATTAAAAAACAAGGGCGTGCGAGATGGGCAAAATGTTCCTGTGCAGAAACTGGGCAAAAATCGAGTCGAAATATCTCCGCTGAAGAATACAATGCCGATGAAGACGTTTGCATATGTAAAAAACTTAAAAAGTAAGCTGCATGAATGGCGAGCAAAATACCACCTATGCATTCAGTTAGTAGACAAACTTATAATGATTGCATTGTCGAAGAGATAAATATGGGTCAGTCCAGACTGCATATGTCATAACAGCATGAGAAGCACGCGACAGGAGTCTTTCTATTATACGCATAGCTGATTCAGTGTGTCCATTTGTGTGATATACACAACCAATCGAGTGTCCTTTTGAGTGAATGTCTGTATGTACATATAGTTCGGCCAATTACGGTAATAAAACGAAGTGATCATGGAAAATCTGTGCAACTAAAAATAGACGAGTGGAAAACAAAAACATGCTCACCGGAGGTAAAAAACCACAAGACCCTATCAAGTAGCCACTATCTGCTTTAAGAAAGGAACGAAGCCTTCAAGGGAATGAGCAGACCGCGGCTGATTGATAGACGGCCTCGACTGATCGTGAGTTCAAGGCGTTACGGGGCAGTTTCTTGAATACATCGACTTTCCTGTGATATCAGCAGCAGGTAGTTGTCTTTTGCACACTTTGTGCAGGTTGAACTCGTAGATTTTAGTCGAGAGGACTGAGCGATTATTTTCCAAGCGCAACGGTCAGCTCAGCTCTTACGCGTGAACAATCATTCCTAACACCCAGTCGATTGATTTTTGCAATGTGCTTTTGCAGGCTCCCTGAAGATGCTTACAGAGTAACACCACCACATACTTGACGAAACGATCCATTATTTTATGAAAAGGTTAAGGCTTGAACAATCCAAACTAAATATTTTGATCGGTGAAATTTCAGGAACACCTTATTTATGGAAGCAAATACGCAAAGCTAAATTCCGAACTCCATCGCCCAGTTCTGAAGTTGTATGTGGTACGTTCTTTTGACCGAAATTTATAGCCACTACATATGTATATACCCAAGTGGATGTGTCTCTAGGTCCGTTCGCAGAACGATTGCAAGGAACCTCACGTTAATAAACAGACCGTCGATTGGATTCGTCGAAAAATATTAGTTCATGTGAGGAACAGATGTCTGTATTTTTCGAAATCTGTTTCACTTTTCTTATAAGCGGTCAAGAAGGGCATTAGTAACTGTTCAGCAATTCATCAAAATGACGCGCTACAGACTCTAAGGCACGGCTCGCTGCGACCCCCTGTGGTAATGCCTCTGGACTAGAGCTCGAGATCTCCATCAGTAGCAGCATTTACTGCCACTTTCTACTTTTCGATCCATCCGTCGTTCTGTAGTTGTGGGGGTTCTGAAGGATGAAGAAATAAGCATTCGTCCTTGATCAGCCATTCTGAAATGCGGCACGAATTCTATTCTTGGTCTATACAGGGTGCGCCAAAATTACGGAGACAACGCATGAGCAAACAATTTGAACTGATATTCACAGATGCTGTTTTCTTCTGTCCTAGTTTTGGTACTGTGGTGTAGAATTGTTTATGCTTACCTTGTTCAACCACCAAAATCTATGGTAGCTGCAGCGGTTGACTGATACT